TCAGCTAAAAAGGAAGAACCAATAAAAGAATCTAAAATAACACCATTGACAGTGTTCTATGACGCCATGTCATATGTCCTGAAAATCTGTTTTAGAGGTGAAACATTCCTCACATAATTGACATGTTACACTACACTTTTTGAACCTTACTGACTGCAGTCCTTTACAAGAACTGAACCCCAAAACATATTTCAGACAACTACACAATCACATCTCCCATGTCTCACTAGGTTTGGGATGGCTGTTTAAATCTAATTTACACTAGAACACTACACTACCAGGGATCTCATTTCTGTGCTGTCCTAACCCCACTTACTCTACAATATAAATAACAAATAAATAGTGTAAATAATGGAAATAGGTGGGTTTCTTTGAGGTACAAGACTACTGCGTCAGGAAGATGTATTTATATTGATAATGTAACTTTGCCTTTTGAAGGAAGTTCACAAGATCATTTCTTGTAGACTTGCTACACAAAGGTGATTTTTTAAAAATACTAACTTTCATTTAGTTTGATAAGAGTGAAACAAATTTAAGGGTTTACTGACTGGAGGTGCTAGTAATTGTCATGGAAGAGCTATTTTAAGTCTGAGATCAAATTTAACTGCATTATACTGACAACATGTTAGCTCATAAAGGACTCAAAATATGGCACTTGATAAATGATTTAACTTTAGCTGGTAGTCCCTTTAAGTAATGAATATGATTCAGTGCCTAGTACTTTTGTTCAACCAAGACTTTTGAAATGTGTTTAGTCTTCAGTTGAACTTAATGTGACGCATGCTTGGACAATATCTACTGGGCTAAGGATGGGGTTCAGGGGCTAGGAAAGCACAAATGGATCTTGGTGACCCATCTAGGAATGGTACACAGTTGGCTGCCCAGCCATCTGTTGCCTTAGGCTACTCTACACTAGGTGAGGCTAGAGGCTCCAGAAGACTCTGCCTGCGCTTCCTGTAGTCCAGTTCAATCTACACTTTTACTACAGTATGCGATCACATCCTTGTCAAAACCTTCTGTACAAAACAATGTCTGTCCATCACCGAGAACATACACACTTGTGCCTTGACCGACGACAGTGCCTTAGGTAAGACTAGTCTGATATGAAACAATTACTATTAGAAAGTCTAATTCCGTCAGTGCAAAAATAACAAATTCTTCCTTCCTTTCCTACAGGTTTCCCTGCATCATGTACACAAGCCAGTGCTTTTTTTTCTTTGTGTACAGGAGATAATACACCATCTAAATAAAAGATACCAGATAACATAACTGCAAGATATCCATAACTGGCTGTATATCTTGCTTCCTTGCCAGAATCCACTGGCTGGCTTGTTGAGGAAGATGGCAGTAGGAAAAGTGGTGATTTTTATGTAGTTTTTAACCACTGGGAGGTAATGTGTCACTCCATTCACGTACCCTACATCACTAGCCTTCTAGAGGAGGTCCTTGCCTCATGTGAGCCTCATGTAGTAATTGCAGAGGTGGGGGGAGTCCCAGTGAAGTGGGCACATGGGGCATTGAGTGGGACACTGGAGGTGGTGGTGGTGGCTGGGACACAGGACTGGGTGGCACTGGGCTATGGGAGCGGGGCCGGTCCTCCTCCATCCCAGAATAATGACGGTAGTGAGATACGGGAGAAGCTGCAGGGTGTGTCTCGTCTTCACAGTCTCGCTGGGTTTCCATTGGCGTCTCCTCTTCAGTCATTTCCTGCTTGACCAGCTGTGATGGGTAGGAGTCCTCTGGCTCCTCCTCACGCTCACGCTCTCTATGTGAAGGCTCTTCCTCCTCCTCATGACGTGTCATTGCCTCATGGTAGGATACAGGTGGGGATCCGCTCTTCTCCACACTGGAGCTAACACTGAAGGCAGTGTTCAACAGCGGCAGGTTAGAATCTGCCAAGGCAGCCTGTAAGATGAGATTTTAATTTTTAACCTGATGGTCCAGTTTCCTATGAGGATATTGAAAATAACAACAATACATCTAGAAGAATTGTATTTTTCAAGCAACCACACTAATGAGACTAAAAGAAGTATCTTATAAGTACAAACCTGTAGGCTAGCATTGAGGGCCTCGCCGTAAAGAGTTGGGCTGCCTGTGAGAGTTGGGCTTTTGCTGGGCACACCCCTGGAAGAAGTAAGTGGTGATTAGATGCAAGTTCAGAATAATCATGCTTAACCTGTCACTTCTCAAAAGTTTCCCAGATTTGGACATGAAAATATTGTTTTCATATAATGTTCTAAAAATATTATATCAATTGCAAGATTCCAGTTTACTGATAATAAGTATGGACATACAATACTGTATTTCAGTTTCTATAGACCATATTATTTATAATACTGTGGAACACTAAAAAGCAAATATTTGAAAATACATGCACTTTTTGTAATTTGTAAACAGTAAATATGTAAAATACAACATTATTTACTGCGGCTTACACACTTACCATGCAATACTTACTGTTAAAAAAGTTCTCTTGTCGAAAACAAAATTTAACAAAATA